TATACAAACTCACCACAAATATTTATGTATTGTTCATATCTCACATATAACTACTATTCTTTTGTTTCACTTATGTGTACCCATGTACACCTCACACTATGTACACAGTCAAGTCGTATAGCCTCATACGTACACATCTTCCTATCATCCAACCCCATAAACCTTATTTAGTATCAGTGTATCCATCACACTCTATCAATTAAATATGTGCTCCAATGTATAATTATGTTTTAAATGGTTTTTCTAGATATAAAAAGTAAATGAATAAATAATACATCATAAATAATCACATACTAAGGAAAATAATCTAACAAATGGGTTATGAGAAATAGTTTCTATGTAGACGATGGGTTATCATTTTTTCGATGTACACATAGATATCATTTATACTGAGTACACGTATATAGTTACAACAATGTACAAAATGATATGTTTTCAATAGTGTACACATCGATAAACTCCATAACCACCATGCAACTTGTTTTTAATGAGTGGCAATTTTGTAATAACATGTCTTCTTCCTTTTAGGTTATAGGGAATTCTGCAACCAAAAGATGATCTATGGTGGAGTACATGTTCACCTTCTCACTTAGAAACCGGACCGTCGCAAATAGCTCCTCTGATAACCCTTCTTTAACATCCTCAGCCTCTATCGCTTCTGCACTTATAAAAAAACCCAGAAGCATCAAATACATACTCCCTTAAGATCTACAGAAATCACACAAATGTCGGGACACTCACCACCGTCCTTCTCATGCCGTCTACGTTCCTCGACAGCTCTCTCCCAACAACTTTCTGAGATTCTCTTTCGCCGAAATTTGCCGTCGTCTCGCTTCTTCTTCCTCGCTTTCTAAGGTCTTTTTAATTTTCCTTGGTGCCAGTTACGAAACAAAAAAAAAATCAAATTTACTTTTAGTTTTAAAATTTTGCTTTAAATGTAAAGAAGAAGTTTTTTTAGTTTTAAATGCGAAGAAGAAACTTTTTAAGTTTTTGTTTGTCCATTCCAAAGAAAAAAAGGAAAATAATTAATATAAAAATACGGTAGAACCACTTTAGTTAGATAAATATTTTCAGTTATAAGGGTGTGGTTTCTAGTTTAAAAAAACTACCTCATTAGCTAAACTGTTTTAGCATCTAACAATAATAAAAGAAGAATATACTCAATGGTGAGAGTGTCCATCTCATCAAGTAAATTCCTCAAATAAAATTCAACTAATTTACATGTCATTTGCATAACACTCTGCACTCACATACATAGTCAGCAATCTCTTCATCTTCTCATATGAGGAGCTTTTATTGCTTTGGTCTCTTTGTTTTCCAAACGAAAAGCCCCAAAATAAACATATTTTGCATTAGCTTTATTTTGTCTAACTATTTCAATCATTTGATTATATACATATCTTCAAAGGCCTCAAACTGAAGCCATAGTCAAGTCAAAGAGAAAAGGTAATTTTGATTATTTCAAAGGTCTCAAACTAAAGCCATATAGTCAAGTCGAAGAGAAAAGGTAAATTTTGATTATGAATTTTTTTTAAAGGAAATTGGAAAAATAGACCATAATAAAAATGTTTTTGTCCTTTTATACCTTTTACAATAATTAGTCAGATTTAGACATAAATATCCTCATAATAATATAAATAATTATTAAAAATAATACAAAGCTCAATTGTTTTTTGAAAAATCAATATAATCATGAGAATATTTTATATGTTTTGATATAAAAAAATAAACTTCAAATACAGTTTGGATGTGTTGTATATTATAACTCTTTTTACAAAGAAAAAAAGACATTCTAACTTGTCTTCAACGTTTTATCAAATTTAATATTTATATTGTAACCATTTACCTATGATATAGCTAATATAGAATACGTATGTCTACGTTCTAACCAAGACACTTTATTATTTCAAACATAGAGTATATATTCTAGGCTTTTACTTTGTTGTAGAAAAATCTAGAAAACGTTTACATATGTTCTATCATATTTTCTATAATATATCGTAGATAGAACCTAAGTTGCATGGAATCGGAAACGGATACGTGGAAACGAAACGTTTCGAAACGTGGAAACATGATTTTCAAAAAAATTAGAAATGGAAACGTTTTAGAAACGTCTATAATATATATATATATATATATATATATATATATATATATGTATGATTAATCAACATGTAAGTTTTTTTGTACATTTTATTAAAATTATAATCAATAACTAGAAAAGTAACACATGTTATCATTCGATAAAAGTATGGAGTGGCTTTATTCCAAATCAAATCATTATACTAAAAAGATAACAAATATCAAAAGATAATATTAAAATATAAAATAATAAACATATAATCATTAACATCAAATGTCAAATAGTTATTTTGTGTTTTTAATTAGAATCGCGAGTTTCCAAATTAGAAACGCGAGTTTCCAAATCAGAAACACAAGTTTCCATCGTGTTTCCAAAATGAAATTTTCAAGAAACGTGTTTCCAAAGAGTTTCCTCGAGTTTCCAAGAGATTCCGATTCCGAAACGTTTCCGAAACAGGAAACGGACATTGAACGAAGTTTCCATGCAACCTAGGATAGAACGTCTTGTTCTTACTTTTATCATATGTTCTAACTAGTTAGAATTAATATTATAACTTTCTATCTGTGTTCTATCCAAGTTAGAATATGTATTCTATATTTTCAGTTATTTGATGAGAAAATTTAAGAAACAATCTTAACTACTTTTATTCAAGATTATCTTTTTTTGGACGGAGTAGTGTTGAATTCATCCCTTGTTTGATTCAACGATCTTCTTCCTTTCTCTTCTTCTATATTTCTTGTTTATCAAATCAAATGGTTTTTATCAGGAGTTCGTCGGAGAGAGAACGAGAGAGGCAAGAGTGCGTCAGAGAGCACCACAAATTCTCATGTCTTAGTAATTGTGGGAGATAGAGAAGAAAAGAAAGAGATGTAGTTTATTAGGGTTTTAAAAAAAGTTAATATTAATAAACATAAATATATCATGAAATTTTGTTTTTATTTAATTAGAGGGTTAATTTCGTATTTATAATATCAAAGGTATATTGAGACATAATCAAAAAGTTTAAGATAGAAGGAGCCAAACCCTTCTTCAATATAGTTCAATTAGCCAATTTTCTCTTCTTCTTTTTTTTATTTCAAAAGATAAAAAGATACTCGATCTGATTTTTAATTTTCCAGATTTTTGAATTGTTCTCAAATTAAAGCCATGCAACTGAGATTGAAGTATTAGACACTGAATTGTCCTCCAACCACACAGCGAGACTCGCATGATTCGTTACTATCTCTGAGTTAGGTAATGACGGTATTTTATTTTGACGATTCTAGATCGGAGACGAGAAATGGATTTTAATGCTAACATTCAGAAACCATCCATCTCATGCGATGTCTACGTTCATGTAAGTCAATCCTCTTAAAGTTTCATACTAAATGTACACTATAGATTTTATCTTGGTTTGTGGTTTTTATCCCATAAGCGCTGGTTCAGATTTTTGATGTTTTTAGTCATTGCTTTCAGATCTCAGATTAAGTTTGTCTCTCAAGTATGGTGTCTCTATATGGCAAAAGCTTCTTCAACGCTTCTCCTTCTCCTTTTAACAAGAATATAAGTGACTAAAATTAAAATGACAACAATCTCACTCTTCAGTTTAGAACAAAAAGACAAAGTGGAAATATACGACATCAAAAGCATTGGTGTGGTTAACAACATCATTTACTTAGAAGAGAAAAAGGTAAACAACTCATCGTTTGTTAGATCTCAGATATTTTAAAGTTTAGATTTCGTAAATCCTTTATAACTATCATCTCTCAGAGAATTTTGAAGTTATAGATTAGCTGTTTCAAGAAAAGTGATCTCCCGGAGTTCAATCTGTACTGGTGTTTTGGCTAGCGTGTGATATGCATCAGAATGGATACCTTAACAATAACTTTATGATCACATGGTTTGACCCTCTCATCTAATATCTCCCTCCCGCCCATTTACTTGCACGAATCTGTCTGATCTCATATAGTTTTGCTGTTATTTGTTGGATAATTCTAAACATAAAAGGGCGTTCCTACTTTCAAGAACTTTAAGCAGGTTCAGTGACGGAACTCGGGAGCTTGACCAATAGGTACACGGATCGCAGATTCGACTCGAGGTTATCTTTGAGAATGAAGGAGTCAAGGATTACTCTTTTAAAGATCATACGACCGCCATAAGAAACCACGGCAAGGTGAACAGTATAAATTTATTGTTATATGGTATTCCACAGGTAATTGCCAGTAAATCAAACATATAAAGGGTAACCACTCCACCAATTCCTACTATCGGTGTTTTAGGACTTATTCATTGCTTTTAACATATCTTAATTATATCAGAGCTTCTAATTAGTTTCCAAAGCTATGATTAATTTACTATACTTAGAAAATTATGTATATTGGACAATAAGATATGAGGTTCATACTGGTAATGATCAATTCTGCATAAGGGCTTATATTGACTTTGGTATTTTTTTTTTATCTTTGTAGCATAGTATTGATGATCTCTCTTGCTCTTTCCGCCAAGAGTCCTTTTCACAATACGAGTTAAGATGTTTAGCTAGTGGTTTTGCTGAACGAAGTTAATGCATATGATATATTGTGAAGATCGTTAATCAAACTGTTATTAATTCTTAATTTGTTACATTGTTATAAGGACGACTTGGTTGCCAATTTAATTGTTGATAGTGATTTGTTATGTTGAGTTAGTTGGGCTATATTATTGTTTGTCCTGTGAATATTATGAGTAGTAACATTAATAATTTAAATTTATATTAACAGGGTCTAAGTTTTGTAACTACTACCATTGAAGAGTCCACCATTATTTTTCCCCAACTATACATTCAGAGAGTTTTGCTGACATTCAGACCGAGAAACCATAGAGGATAAACACATCTGCATATACCACTTATCAGGTAAGCTTTGATCCTTCAACTGCTCATTATCAAGTGCTTGTTGGAATGTTTGATGACCATGGTGGACTGGAGGCATCACTTTACATGAAGCAGAACTTGACGAGGCTGTTCATCCAAATGTTTTGTTTTTTATAGCTGCCCTCCTTTAGGGACAACTTTTTCCTAGAGGAACTTCAGAACTCTCGCCAAAAACCTTTTGATTTGGCGGATCTTGCAATGGCTGATGAAAGCATTGTATGTGGTTCATCCAGTACAACCTCCTTGATCGCTCTCATAATTAGACGACATATTTTGTTCGCCAGTGGTGGAGATTGCCGTTCAGTACTATGCCGGAGAGTAGTGTTTGTTGGCATATCTTTCGATCACAGATCAACACAAGAACCAGAACGTAGGCGGATAAAGGATCTAGGAGCATACTTTGAGGGCAGTTACGTCAACTGGGTTTTTGCTGTCAGCGCGTGCCACTGGAAATTGGGAAATGAAGATTCCTTTCACTGGCTCCTTATGAGTTCATACCCAAAGATTAGCAAGATGAGGAGGCATGATGACCCCATACAATGTGCAATGGAACTTAGAAAGAAGCAGCGAGGCTTAATTCATCAGATTATATGACGGTTGTGGTAATCTGGTTCTGGCAGACCTCACCAACCGCAGAGAAAATTAAGGCTAAGTGTTTTTTTATGAAGCCAAAGTTTCGAGTGGACTTAAGCAGAGAAAACTAAGGTTAAGTGTTTTTCTAACAGAATTTTGTTTTTGCGTCCATATCCATAAAAACTTTTGTTACTTATTACCATTCTATCTTCAGACTCTTTCATTGATATTTCCATTGTCATTCATTTCAGATATTGAAATTAGGGAACAACTTAATACTAAAAGATGAATGAAAATACAAACTTAAATATTATAATATAAATTTTATATTTATAAGAAAATTTTAACTAAATACAGTAACTTGGTTAATACATTGATAGAAAACTAATTTTCACTTTTTAAGATTCCTAGGGGTTAATTAAAAAGGATATGTGTTCGAACATATGCAAATATTTTCTTTTATAAAAAAAACATATGCAAATATGTGTTGTGTATATTCAAATGAAATTATAGAATAACCTAGAATTAATATAAATTATTTATGATCATTCCCAGAAATGAGTTTTGTATATTTTTATTTCTAATATTTGTGAATTTTTCATTACAAGTAATTAATAAAAAAATAAATTTTGTTTTTTTTTTCTGAAGGCAATTATTAAATTAATATACTAACTCCACATGTGTTCATACAAATATGAACTCATTTCTTATGGCTCATTTGAATATCAGAAGAGAAAGAATCCATTTGTGGATTGCACATTCTCTTGAAAATTAACTTTTTTATGGATTTGAGATATATCCATATTAATAAAAATATGTTAAATATAAAGATTTTAAAGTTGAAAATAAGTCTTCAAACTGTCATTTTTACGTATACTTTTAGAAAGAATAGTTCCATTGATAAAACAAAAAATGGTAGTCGTAAAACATATAGCACAAAAATATAAATATAGAAGAAAATATCTATGAAATTCAAACTATCTATTGATTTGAATTTAAGTCTATAATTTTAGCTTTTTGACGTAATAATATATCCAAATTATAGAGATGTGTGTTCTATTGTTATTTAATTTTTCTTTCTAATAATTTAAACTTCATTTTATAATTTCTATTTTGTAAAAATACACAGTATATGTATGTACCCATTATATATATTACAATAGTATAAAATAATAAAGACATAATTGAAATATAAAATTTATGACAATAATCAGGGCATATCCTGGAAAACTCTCTACTGTAGATAAAANTGTGTTCTATTGTTATTTAATTTTTCTTTCTAATAATTTAAACTTCATTTTATAATTTCTATTTTGTAAAAATACACAGTATATGTATGTACCCATTATATATATTACAATAGTATAAAATAATAAAGACATAATTGAAATATAAAATTTATGACAATAATCAGGGCATATCCTGGAAAACTCTCTACTGTAGATAAAACTTGAAAACTACCCTGCAATATAAATAACTCCTAATTTAATGACATTTTCATTTTCGTTTCCAGTTACTGATGACAAGCAATGGATACTGGCATATTTTATTGTTTTTTATATTAATCATATAAACATGTAACACATTATTTTTATACTAATATACATACATATATTCTAATTTTATTTAAGATAATTAAAGTCAGTGGATAAATCACAGCACAATAGCGTTACAAGTTATTGTGTTTTACTAATTTTTTTTTTTTTTTTTTTTTTACAAAAATAGAACAAATACTATTATCCTGTACTACTATAAATATAAATGAAATTGATTTTAGATTGAGAAATTATTTAAAAAAGAGTAAAAAAAAGAAAAAGTATTGAAAAGTTTTGATTTGAAAATGTATTATTCAAAAATATAATGTTTAATTATTTATTTAAATCAATATTTGTATTTATATATTTATAAAGTAGAGATAGAAGAGTCTTCCGAATTTTACTGAAAATGTATTTGTAAAAATGTTTCCTTAAGGAAAGTAAACATGAATTGTGGTACAACAAATGAGGTAAAAGTAGAAATCTCTTTTTTTAGATTTCTTATACCTTTGTTTCTAGTGCATCCTAAAATATTTTTAAAAATTAATGCTTCGTATAAACATATACTTGTGAATTTATAGACAAAATTTTATAGTTAAACTGTTGTTAAAATAAATATATTTTTCGAAGTTGTGAGAATATATTTTTTATTTATATAGTTTACATTCTGCAGAATATATAATAAATCTTTTTGTTTTATCGAAAACAAAAAACCGTGCTTTCATTTTTCATTCATAAGATCAATTTTCCCAACCGAACAAATTAAAGGCTAAATGCTTAATATTATTTTGAAAAATATTTGCTCATATAACTTTATAATATTTTATTTTCTTTCAATATCATTAAAAAACTTTCAAAATTTTATTTTAAAAATAAAAAATTATTGAACTTGATAAAATCTTACTTAGAAATAGTTAAACTTCTTTCGTATTTTTGAAGATTTAAATTATGAGTGTCAAACAATGTTAAAATGAACTTACACCAAATCGAAATAATTAGTCATATGATTTTTGTCAATTTCTATATATGTGTGTTACATATTTTAAATAATATACTATTCTATGGAAATTCATATGGGTTTTCTTAGTTTTTTATTAAAACCAAACTAAAATTCAAATTAAATAATCGTAACCAAAATATTTATCCTCTACCAAATTATTACTAATTAATTTGGTTACTGATATCTTGTATATTTTCATTTTTTAAGCACTCCATTTTTATACATAATTATCATATAGATTAAGGATTAGGCATCTTTAGGGTCCATATTTCATTTATAAGTCTTTCTCAGGTGTAAGAGTATCCTACTGAACGTTTGGAGGTGTTTAGAGACATTTGTGGTGCAAAAGGATAAAATATGAACATGGATGGAGACCTTTTTTTTTTTTTTTTGGATCAAAGGATGGAGACCTTAAAGTTATCTTTTGAAGCTCATTATTTGGGATTACATGAGAAATTGAGTTATCTTTCCATTGGAGGTGGTTTCAAATCATTTGGAGCTTTATTGAAGAATAGAAGCATGTCAATCCTGCTGCAAGACTGGCAAACCGCGGACGTCGACCACTGACAAGAGTAATCCAAGGATTTCAAACTTAGAGATTGATTTTGGAGTGGACAGACCGCAGACGATGATTACGGACAACATCAGTCCGCAGGATTCAGGTGATAGCAAAGCACGGACATCAACCACGGGTAGGAGCAGTCCACGGATTTCAACCCGAGAGTGACCACTTGGAAAGTGCTAGGCCACGGCCAACATCTGTAGACTGATCCCGTCCGCGGTCGACACAGAGACTTTTGGACCCAAAATCGGGCCCATTAACTCGAAACCCGTTGAAGAATTGTGCAAGCGAGTTCGAAGAGCATTCGGGGAAGTACAACGAGAACAAGGTTAGGCCCAATGTTCAAAGTAAGGACCATGCCCATGTTTTATCATCACGTCGTGATCAGTGGACTTCGCGAGGTCGAAACGGGACCCCGGAGATCGCGGAAACAGTTAAAGGAGGAAAGGACTATAAAAGGAAAGCTAGAGTGAAGTTCGCAACACACGAGAAAAACCCTAGATCTATTCACTAATCACTAATCACATCGACCTCATTCTTTAGATTTCTAGTTCGCTTTCTTGTACTCTTTGTTGTTATTTCCGATCTTGTTGATCACTTTGTAAACAAATTCCATATTCAATAAAATTTCATTTTTGTCAACCGAAGTCCGATTATATCGTTGTGTTTAAGAGCATCGTTGCCCACATACTTTGTCTTCCCCCGATTGAACTCTCGATCTCTGCAAAATACTGAGTGTGAATTTTAGGATCTATATTTTGGCGCCGACAGTGGGGAAGATAAACAAAAATGCCCTTGCTAAGAATACGATCTAGGATTTCTAAGCACGATTATGGACCCGGACCAAACCTAATCTGGATATCCCAAAAGAAAAGAAGTCGAACGTGATTCTTCGAGAGCTGCTGTCATCACGATGTTCCGGGAAAACACGACAGTCTGACAACGATACCGCCGGCCCGTACAAAAGAAGAGCTCCACACCTAGAAATAATATCCCTCCCAGAAGCTCGACAGCCATCAGAAACCCAGAAGGAAACTCTAACCTTCTACGAATACGAAACAGTTAAACTCACACGACGACACCCTGATCATTACAATCTATCTCGCTGGAGTAACCGTAACAAGAGCCTTCATCGACACAGGTAGCGCTGGCAATGTCATACCTCGAGAAACGCTTAATAGATCGAGGTAGCCACACCGTCCATCGTGACCGGAGTCGAAGATTTGGAATTAAAATCCAAATTCGCCGTCTCCAAACACCCTATGCATTTTGACGTCGTTTTAAGGAGGTCGTGGTTACATAAAATGAGGGTGATCCCGTCAGTTTATCACCAATGTGTGAAATTTATGTCACCTACCGGAGAAAGAATGATTTACAGCAGTCAGAAGAAATCCAGAGCCTGCTACCTGGCAGAATTCCGAAAAATGCAACCACAAAAAAAGAAAATCCCATCTACTCGCGATCAAGAAAAATTAAGAGAGCTTGTCGATTTTGCTCGCACTCGACGAACGATTCCCCACAAATGCGTCAACATTGGAAATGACCTTCGTTCAAATATAAGATGTGATTTGTTATCATTCCTGAGAGAAAATATCAAGACATTTTCTTGGACAGCCGCCGATATGCCCGGGATTGACATCGCAATAACATCTCATCAGTTGAACGTCGATCCTACTCACAGGCCAGTCAAGCAGAAGCAAAGGAAATTGGGCCCCGAACGCTCGAAGGCCGTAAACGAAGAAGTCGAGAAACTCCTTAAGATCGGATCCATCCGCAAAGTCCAGTACCCAGATTGGCTGGCCAATCCCGTCGTTGTGAAAAAGAAGAACGGGAAATGGAGGATCTGCATCGATTTCACCGATCTCAATAAAGCATGTCCGAAAGATAGCTTCCCACTGCCGCACATAGATCGGCTGGTGGAAGCGACAGCCGGACACGAACTACTGTCATTCATGGACGCTTTCTCTGGTTACAATCAGATCCTTATGGATCCGGAGGACTAGGAGAAAATTAGTTTTATCACCGAATGTGGCACCTACTGCTATAAAGTAATGCATTTTGGACTGAAGAACGCAGGAGCCACCTACCAACGACTAGTGAAAAAGATGTTCGCCTAAC